TGCAACACAGGAGATCAGTGCACCACGGGGTGAAGTAGCTGGGCCAAGGACACATGTTTTCAGTAGCTCACAATGACCGCACGATGAAATGCATGGAATTGATTCATCCAATATTTTTGAAAACCACTTATGGTCTCTGACCTGAAGGGGTCCATAAACCAGGCAGGCAGGGTGTGATGTGACTCATCTGAGTTAGGGGAGATGATCAGTCTCATTCCGCTCAAGAAATTGCCACACTGGCTTCTTCTCATGCAGAGAATAACAGTTGGTCTGCAGGGAGCATAAAGAACCCCCACTAGGCCAGGCCTTATGCAGAATGGGAGAGGCTACAGTTATCTTTTATGTGTCTGCATTACTTTTCTGTTGCTGTGCAACAAATTACCACAAACTTAATGACATAAAACAGTACAAAAGCATTATCTCACGGTCTCTGTGGGTCAGGAGCATGGGTACAGGTTAACTGGGTCCTCTGCTCAGGGTGTCACCAGACTCAAATCCAGGTGCTAGACAGGGAAGCAGTCCTTATCCAAGGCTCTGGGTCCTCTTTCAAGCTCACATGGTTACTGGCAGAATTTGTTTTCGTAAGGTCATATGACTGAGGTTCCCATTTTCTTGCTAGCTGTTGGCTAGCAATTGCTCTTAGATTCCAGAGCTTGTCTATAATTCATAGCCGTGTGGCCTCCATAAGCAGTTCACCTTTGGCTGTTTGCTACTCCCCAGGTCAGCAGAAGCTTATCTCTTTGACACTTCACTTTCTTCTAAAGGCTCACTTGAGTAGGTCAGTTCTACCCAGGGTGTTGCTCAAGATTATTCAGAAACCTTTGTCCTCACTGCCACCACCATGATCTAAAATATTATCTGCCATCTGGACTTTCAATGCACTCTGCATTCATCAGATCATAACTCAAAGTCAACTGATTAGCAACCAGATCACGGGAGTGACATCCCATCATACTCACAGGTCCTGCCCATATTCAAGGGGAGGGGGTCATATAGGGCACGCACAGAAGGGTGTGGGAATCTTGGTCATTTGGGAATTCTGCATTCCAGTGTCTTCCCACCCACGTCCTTGCATTTTCACCTTGATGTGTTGGATGTCTTGGCCTCCAGAATCAGGTAGCTGCAGTCTTCAGAATGAACATTTCCCCATCCCCTTTGTCAATATGCCTTTAAACAAAATAGAACAATATTTTATAAAAGGAATTAATTGGTAATGTTAGAGTTTCAGGTAATGTAATGAGCACTTGCTTTTGTATTGTCAATGCTTAGCAGAGTGTCTGGCACTTAGGAGCCCTCAATTTATGTTTCTTCAATAAATGAATATGTGAATGATTATATGAGAAATATTTTGGGCATCCTCATCAGATTGCATCCATGTAAAAAATGCCGACACCCTCTATGTACAAAGCTGATTTCATTTTTTAGTTTCAAATGAGTTTTTTTTTTCCTGGTAATGCATGCTTATTATAAAACACTTGGGGATTTTCCTTCTTTCTATGATTTTATTTTTTATGTTTAACTTTTTATTCCAACTGGAACTAATTTTCCAATATTAGGTATAAAATATTCCATCCTCCATGCAATTAGTCTCTGATGCTTTTTTTCATATACTTAAGTTCTAATACATAAAAAGGTTTATTTCTAGCTATCTATTCTATTGCATTGATCTGCTGTCCAATTTGTGTGCCAGTATCACCTGTTTTAATTATTGGAATTTTATCATGTTTGAAGATCTGGTAGGGCAGGAGCTGCCTCATTATTCTTCTTTCTTCTTTCAGCCCCCACCTCTAGTTTATTAAGTGAGGGTCTGTCTTACCGCCTGCTCTAGCTCCTTAGGCTGTGCCACATTCTTTATCAAGGTCTGGACATGCAGCCAGATCTAGGCTCATATTCTACTTCTGCAGTCTCATAGGCTCAACTATTCTGGGTCCCAATAAAATATAAACATACTAATCATGGCTATTTAACAAACTTTCTGTGAGAGCTGTGGTAAGTTCTAAGAGCTGCCTAGCACCTGAGAGGTGGTCAATACCCACCAGCTGCAGGGAAGGAATGACGCTGAACATCCAGCCGCTCATGCTGTGTCCTCCATCCTTCTAAGCAGGGGTTGCAACTCTTCTGAAAGCATCCTGTATGACTAGTGAGGCACGGATCTCTCAGACTCAGGCCAAACTTTAGGCTGGGAGAGTTCCAGAATTAATGTTTGTTTCCAGCCTCTGTGCAGCCCCTTTGGGATTCACACTGATCTGATGGAAGTCAGGTGGTTTTGTGAACTGGAGCCAACCCAGAGTGCCCTGGGGGACTCTGGCAGGGGGCATAAATCAAGTGCTGAAGTCCACATTGTCTGCCCTTATCAGAGTCTGGAACTGCCAGGGAATTAACACCCCTTGCCTCATCCCCAGGGAGCCTGTCTCTGCGCTTTGGTAGTCAGAGAATGTTCTCAAGCCATGAACTACAGGTGCTGGGGTTGGAGGTCATTCTGGCACACACTGAAGTGGTGCCGACAAGGAGAGATGGGCAGATTCTGACAGTATGTGCTAGGAATTAAAGACTGAGGAAATGATCACAATTCCAAGAAGCCCCACAGTACTGAACGGTCCTGTGCATCTGCCCAGAGGTTTAAAAAGGTGACTCACTGTTCTCAGACCAAAGAGTAGGCACTGGAAATCAGAGACCTGTGATGAGTCACAAGGCAGCCAGGAATTTTGAAGGCCAGAATCTTACTACTTTCTTAGCATCTTACCCCTAACTCAGAGAGGGCAGGGCAGGCAGTCATTCATCCCTTCAAGAACAGTCTGTGAAGGTCTGCTCCCAGGAGCTGGTATAGAAAGATACAGCAGTTATTGCTCAGCCCTGCCCCTCGTGGTGCTCCTAAGCTGCATAGTGAGATGAGAGGATGATGGATATCCTTGAGTGCATGATACACTCTGATGATGCTATATGTAGTCTCTGCGTTCCCCATTCCAACTCCATCCCACATGACCTTCAATAAGAGTGGAGATCAGATGTTCAAGGCTGGAAGAGGTCTTAGAAATTAGCTCTTCAAGCCTGTCTATACATTAAACCCAGAGAAGGAAGCGATTGCCCACATTCACTCAGCTTCACAGCAGCAATGGAAGGAACTTCAGTACTTTTCTACCTCACAATTCTCCACCAGAAAAATAGGGTTGCTTCTCACCTTACATCAAATTTCGAGAGGCAGCCCACAGTCTGAGGCAATTGCAGAAACAGATTGAGCATTTTTGGAAGAGGAAGACAGAAATGGATGGTGTTGAGTGGGCCAAGGCCGGACGCATGGACACAACATAACATAAGGGCTAAGAGTCAGATCCCCTGAGTTCAAACTCTGGTTTTACCACTTAATAGCTGTGTGAACTTAATTAAGCATCTTTCTTAAGTTTCTCTCTAAGCCTCATTTTCTCATCTGTGAAATGATGGCAATACTGTTTCTTCACAGGTTGGTTTTAAGGATTACATGAAATGATGTACCTCAAGCACTTAGCTAAATGCCTAGAACCAAGTTATGTTACTAGGATAAAGGATTTCCAGAATAGGCCCAACCCAATTATGAGTGATGCTCACAGGCCCATGGGGTAAGACCAGGGTGCCCAAATGACATCGCCTTTTGTACTTTTCTAGCTCTGAGCCCTGGAGGAGCAGCACGGAGTGAGAGAGCGTGGCGAGAGAATGAAGAAACCAACCGCCCGGGAGAAGCATGAGGTGGCAGTGTGGCACTCGGTTTAGAGGGCTTCGGCCGGCAGTGGCCCCATGGACAGCCCTGCTGGCACTGGGCCTGCCTGGCTGGGTGTTGGCCGTCTCAGCCACGGCGGCTGCTGTGGTCCCCGAGCAGCATGCCTCCGTAGCTGGCCAGCATCCCCTGGACTGGCTGCTCACAGACCGGGGCCCCTTCCACCGCGCTCAGGAGTATGCTGACTTCATGGAGCGGTACCGCCAGGGTTTCACCACCAGGTACAGGATCTATAGGTAAGTGGGGCCTCCACTGAGACAGGGGCTTCCCTAAGAACCCAACCTGCACAGCCCCTGCTGGTATGCCAGCCCAAACCCCTAAGCGGGCTGGAATGCCCTCAAACTGAACTAGAGGTGAAGGTTGGAGGAACACCAGGCAGGGAAAACAAGCCTACCATGTTAGTTTTTAAAAAAAGAAAGAAGAAAACACATACAAGCTGGAAAACCTGCTGATGCCTCCTGGGGAACTTAGCACAAGGGTTTCTATTTATAGGTTGTGCTGCTTATAAATTGAGGACAAATCAGGCAGCATGGAGTCAGCGTGTGGCACAGGCTGCCGTAGGAGGTCAGAGTCAAATGCTGGGGCCAGGTTTTAACTAATGGGTTAGATAATTTCATGAGTTGTAATTACTTAGACATACAAACAAAGGAAGGGCAGCTCCAGGTCCTGCCTTAGAGGTCTGGGGAGCCATGCAGGGTCAGGAACAAACCTGCCCTTACCCTTTGTCAACACCCCAGGCTCTGCAGGCCTTGTGGGGAAAAGGGGTTAGGCCCTTTAGGCCCATCCCCAGAAGCATCAGAGCTGAAAGTCAGACTCCTGAGACCTGCCTAATTCATCATCAGGTGGAATAAGCCAGGCACATATTCCTGGCTGCTGGACCAGCACTTCCAAAATAGAGTGCTCCTCCATGTGCTCACCTCCAGGGCTTCCACAGTGCACCAGTGAACTCAAACTTCCCTTCGATTCCTCTGTCCACTTGCCCCCTTGTCATCTCTCCCCTTGCCTGCATCTTTAGATAACCCTGGGAGCTTTGGTGATTTTTTTCTTTGTTCAAAGGCATTTATTTTCTAATTCAAATTAGTTAATTAGTTTTTAATGCAAAAAGAAAAATAAACACGAAAAAGCACAAAGAGAAACAAAAACACAAAACCATCCATTCTTTTGGCAACTAAAGGTTACTGTATCAGATGTTCAAGGCTGGAAGAGGTCTTAGAAATTAGCTCTTCAAGCCTGTCTATACATTAAACCCAGAGAAGGAAGCGATTGCCCACATTCACTCAGCTTCACAGCAGCAATGGAAGGAACTTCAGTACTTTTCTACCTCACAATTCTCCACCAGAAAAATAGGGTTGCTTCTCACCTTACATCAAATTTCGAGAGGCAGCCCACAGTCTGAGGCAATTGCAGAAACAGATTGAGCATTTTTGGAAGAGGAAGACAGAAATGGATGGTGTTGAGTGGGCCAAGGCCGGACGCATGGACACAACATAACATAAGGGCTAAGAGTCAGATCCCCTGAGTTCAAACTCTGGTTTTACCACTTAATAGCTGTGTGAACTTAATTAAGCATCTTTCTTAAGTTTCTCTCTAAGCCTCATTTTCTCATCTGTGAAATGATGGCAATACTGTTTCTTCACAGGTTGGTTTTAAGGATTACATGAAATGATGTACCTCAAGCACTTAGCTAAATGCCTAGAACCAAGTTATGTTACTAGGATAAAGGATTTCCAGAATAGGCCCAACCCAATTATGAGTGATGCTCACAGGCCCATGGGGTAAGACCAGGGTGCCCAAATGACATCGCCTTTTGTACTTTTCTAGCTCTGAGCCCTGGAGGAGCAGCACGGAGTGAGAGAGCGTGGCGAGAGAATGAAGAAACCAACCGCCCGGGAGAAGCATGAGGTGGCAGTGTGGCACTCGGTTTAGAGGGCTTCGGCCGGCAGTGGCCCCATGGACAGCCCTGCTGGCACTGGGCCTGCCTGGCTGGGTGTTGGCCGTCTCAGCCACGGCGGCTGCTGTGGTCCCCGAGCAGCATGCCTCCGTAGCTGGCCAGCATCCCCTGGACTGGCTGCTCACAGACCGGGGCCCCTTCCACCGCGCTCAGGAGTATGCTGACTTCATGGAGCGGTACCGCCAGGGTTTCACCACCAGGTACAGGATCTATAGGTAAGTGGGGCCTCCACTGAGACAGGGGCTTCCCTAAGAACCCAACCTGCACAGCCCCTGCTGGTATGCCAGCCCAAACCCCTAAGCGGGCTGGAATGCCCTCAAACTGAACTAGAGGTGAAGGTTGGAGGAACACCAGGCAGGGAAAACAAGCCTACCATGTTAGTTTTTAAAAAAAGAAAGAAGAAAACACATACAAGCTGGAAAACCTGCTGATGCCTCCTGGGGAACTTAGCACAAGGGTTTCTATTTATAGGTTGTGCTGCTTATAAATTGAGGACAAATCAGGCAGCATGGAGTCAGCGTGTGGCCCAGGCTGCCGTAGGAGGTCAGAGTCAAATGCTGGGGCAAGGTTTTAACTAATGGGTTAGATAATTTCATGAGTTGTAATTACTTAGACATACAAACAAAGAAAGGGCAGCTCCAGGTCCTGCCTTAGAGGTCTGGGGAGCCATGCAGGGTCAGGAACAAACCTGCCCTTACCCTTTGTCAACACCCCAGGCTCTGCAGGCCTCGTGGGGAAAAGGGGTTAGGCCCTTTAGGCCCATCCCCAGAAGCATCAGAGCTGAAAGTCAGACTCCTGAGACCTGCCTAATTCATCATCAGGTGGAATAAGCCAGGCACATATTCCTGGCTGCTGGACCAGCACTTCCAAAATAGAGTGCTCCTCCATGTGCTCACCTCCAGGGCTTCCACAGTGCACCAGTGAACTCAAACTTCCCTTCGATTCCTCTGTCCACTTGCCCCCTTGTCATCTCTCCCCTTGCCTGCATCTTTAGATAACCCTGGGAGCTTTGGTGATTTTTTTCTTTGTTCAAAGGCATTTATTTTCTAATTCAAATTAGTTAATTAGTTTTTAATGCAAAAAGAAAAATAAACACGAAAAAGCACAAAGAGAAACAAAAACACAAAACCATCCATTCTTTTGGCAACTAAAGGTTACTGTTGTTAACATTTTGGCATATGCATTTCTAGTCATATGAACACACTAATGTTTTTGGACCTCTTGCTAGATTTAGCATCTTGCACGCCTTATGTAAAGTAGCTCCAACCCTGTGTTGGAAGAACAGTTATTCTCCCCATTTTACAGATGGGGAAATTGAGGCCCAAAGAAGTTAAGCAACTTGCTGAAGGGCACAAAGCTAGTGAATAGTGGTGCCAGGATTAGCTCGCAAGTAGGCAGATTGCAGAGTCTGGGTTCTGAAAATATATTTAGAGACATTTTCTTTTTTCTGGGAGTTCTTTTTTAACATCTGCAGTAATGACACAACCACTTTAGATTTGTAAGGGGTCTCAGAAGTATGGTTTTAAGAGTATTCAGTACAGTATCAGAAGATTCCCAAATGGTAAAACTGGCTGTTTATAGAGGCCATTCACCTGCTTCAAAATTCCCACACTTGGGTGCAGACAAAGGAGCAAGGTTGGAGATATTTGAGGGGCTGGTACTTTGTGGACCCAGAGATTCCTAGAAACAAAATCCTACTCTTAGGAACTGCCTGCCCAGCTATCCTTTCAGGCCATTTTTCTCCCACTGGGCTTAGTGCAGTCTGGTCCTGGAAAAGACTGCAGTTCACACTCCCTGGTTTGGGGATTCTGGCCCTTGCCATCTTCCAAGGGCCACAGCAGAAATTCACACAGCGTCACCAAAGCAGAGAGCACCAACTCAGGCTTGGAGGGACTGAGTTTATACCAGCTCAGGTAAAAGCAGCTGAGTAGAAGAGGAACAGAGTAGAGGGTTAACTCAGCTGTCAGTAAACACCTAAGAATCTCAAAGAGATGGCAAATTCAGGGTGACCTTCTCTTTATTAAAGAAATTTTTTCAATCTTTCAAAAAAAAAAATCAGAAAATCCACTCTAGAATGTGCTTAAGCAGAGAATCCCTCCAGTCCAGTAAAATAAGATTTAATTTACCTTAGACTTTTTAGTTTATCCCACATCTCACAGAAGCATTGTTATCACCAAAAATAATTTTTTAAAAGTTTACTGGAATTGAAGTCAGGCTGGGAGTCCTAAAACTACTCTCCACTTCAAGGAGCTATAGAAACTAGAGGGAACAAACTCTCAGCTTCCTTCTCCCCTCGGGAGAGTTTTCTTCCGGACAGCCTGGTAGCCACCTAGCGCCTGGGCGGCAGCTCTGAGCGGGCCCGCGGGGAGTGTCTGTAATCATCTCTGCACCATCAACTGTTCTATCAGTTGGTAATGGTTTTCTGATCATTTAATGTGACAAGCTCTTACACTGTGCCATTCTGTTTCTCTGGGCTCAGTTATTGCACATGAACCTGTACTTGGGGAAACAGTAACCAGTCATTCTGACAGGAGTGTAGTATTCTGATTTGTGGCCCTTTGGTGGGGCAGAGAGAGCACAGTCACACACCGCTGCTTCAGGAGCATTCCTCGAGTTTTGCCTTTAGTGATGAAGCAAAATGGCGGCTCATGGGCCCTTATAGGGCTCTATATTATCCCAATGGGAATTCATTTTTATCCCTTCCCACTTTGTATCTAGTGGCATTTCCTCTGGCAAATTTAGGACCTTGTTGGCATTGACTAAAGCAGGTCAAAGAAAACTGGTAAAACATACATGGAGAATCATCCTCAAATTTCTCTCCCATTATCCAGAAGAGTTGAAGGATTTAAAAAAAAAAACAAAGAATATCAGAAATGCTTTGAAGGAGAAATATTGGGTCTCAAACAGAATTAATGTTTTGTTTCCCCCTTTAAGGAAGCTTTTGGGACATAGAAATCAGATAGTATCCACATGTGTCTTCCATTTAAGGAGATGCACTGTGGTAGAGAAGAATAAAACTATTATTCAAGGGGGTCAGAATATTTGGCGCAGAATCACTTGAAGGTTTCTTGCATAATAGGAAAGAGACCCTCTGTTGTCTTCTACCTGTTGAACAGATCAAAACCATTGCACAGCAAGGTTCTAATATTTAACTACAAATTCCATCTATTCTTATGAGAATGTTGGAGTATGCTCTCACTTTGAGATGACTAGTCACGCTAGAATAGGTGCAGCCTCTGTAATCATGGACCTCCAGAGATTGTCACTCTCCTCATTACAAATTTG